AACCCCTTTGGCTCCGCCTCTTGGACACCGCAGAGCCGCCTGGAGAGTTAAACTGAACTGAAAGGAATTTAGGACAGCAAGCTGAGAGAGAGACGACTCCTGGTTCTCTCAAAAAAGAAGCATGAAGAACACTTAGGAAGGAAGGAAGGAAGGAAGGAAGGAAGGAAGGAAGGAAGGAAGGAAGGAAGGAAGGAAGGAAGGAAGGACCCCCGACTCAAGTTGCTGGGGAGGAGAAATGTGGATCCTGATGCATCCAGGGGGCGGGCAAAAGAGCGTTATCACATCACAGCAAACCAAATCCAGACTGTGGATGCTTCGAGAGTAGAAGGGCAGGAAACGAGGAAGGGCCGATGGTCGCTGCTGCTCAAAATACAGCAGGCCTGGGTCCTCGGTCGGTGGGCGTCGGAAACGGTCGGTGGGTGTCCTCCAAAGAGGCCGGTGCTCTTCCCCAATCTGCGTTTCACCAAAGGCTTTTAGTCTATTTTAAGGATGTACGAGTTGGCCTTCAAGAGATAGAGGCTGTCATCCATGAGGAAGCTGGGGGGAGGAGGAGGAGAAGGAGAGAGGATCAGGTTTGACATCACTGGAGGGATCGGCCGGGTTTGTTCAAAGGCTTTGAATAAATTTTACCCACTGGCCTAATCAGCCTGCAGAACCCACATCTGACCCCGGGACTGGGTGGGGAACCTGCCTCCAATTCCACCCCACTCGCCACGTCCCAGGACTTTGTACGTGAACCACGGCGGCAGGTAAACCAACCGCTGGAATGCAACTGGCCAGAAAGGGTGGCCTGGATCCAAGGAGCCACCCTCCAACTTGAATGGCTCTTCTGCAGGAGGAGGAATGTCTCCTCTGGCTGGAGGAAGGCTCCAGGCTCTGCTCAGCAAAGTGGCAGGATCCATCCCAGCAGCTGCACGAACCACCCAGCTTCCAAGTCAGCTCTCCTGCCAAAGGGCTGTGCACCTCTCATGGAAGGCGCTACTGATTCACACGGGGATGGCTACAGACCAGTGTTTCCAACACATACAAAGTATGCTCTACCCCAGGGATCTCCAACCGGATGCCTTTGGGCGTCATGGTGACTGCCAACACCTTTTCTGGTGCCCAAGTGTGTTCTGAAAGTGGGCGCGGCGACTCGCAGGACTCTTTTTGTAGCAGGAACTCCTTTGCATATTAGGTGACACACCCCTAATGTAGCCAATCCTCCAAGAGCTTACAGTATTCCCTGTAAGAAGAGCTCTGTAAGCTCTTGGAGGATTGGCTACATTAGGGGTGTGTCGCCTAATATGTAAAGGAGTTCCTGCTACAAAAAGAGCCCTGCGCAGGGCCATGAGAGGCTTTTGCCCAACAAGGCTTCTGATTGGCCACTGGAGATCTCATGGGTTGTGCAAATGTTTAAAAACATGACTTCGGCTGCAGCTGCCACCACACTACAAGGACCTTTACTGGGTGACTGAAGGGAAGCTACGGCAGACTTTTGCGTCTGGCGCTGCCTCAGCCGGCAGCCATTTTATGGCTGAGCCCAACACTCCCTGTCGGAATTCCAAAAGTGCCCTCGGGTGCTAAAAGGTTGGGGACTGTTGCTCTACCCATTATGGACAGGAATGACTGTCGGCTTCTCAACCAGCCCCACCCCACCGCCTTTAACTGCAGCATAACAGGCAGGAAGGGGGGGGGGGGGGGGAAACATTCCCCCGCAATTTCTACTCCAGGAGCTGCTGAAGTTGAAAGAGTAAGGCCAGGCGGGTTCTCTTCCAGTCAAGAAAAGACTAAGGTCATAGGCAGGACTGTGTATTTCAGAATTCTGTGCTGGATCCAGAGATCATATAAGTGCACCAAGTGAGTGCAGAGAAAGGTTATGGGTACATAAACACCAGACCCCAGGAACCTCAACTTTCTTCCCCCCCCAAGAAAGCTTCCAGCCCTCCAGATCAAAAAACCCCACAAATATCTGAAGTGTGCGCGCACCTTGAGGATATCCAGGGGTCATTTCCTACCGGAACGCGCCGGAACAGCGCTCCGGCAGTAAGGAGCCCAGGGGCGGAAGACCTGCAGAGCCCCCCACCACCACCTGGGGGGATTTAAATGTCTTTCTTTCCCTTCCCCAGATGGGGAAGGCATTTTAAACATGCCTGCCCGTTGTCAGGGGGTGTGGCATATTCAAATGAATTATGCAAATCAGCTCCTGCACCTCTTTTTCTACAAAATGACCCCTGGGGATATTTCATAGAATTTGAAGCAGTGACTCACTAAAGCTTGTACTGAAACAACTGTCAAGTCCTTAAGGTGCTACGGAACTTTTGTTCCTGGAGAGCAAGATATCCAGAGATCTGTCTCTCTCGTATATTCCCCCCCACACCCTTCCTCCAAGGAGTTTAGGGTGGTACGCATGGCTGCCATGTGTGGTGGGCAATTGTCCTCCTCCAAAGGCAGCAGCCATTTGAAAATGTGGAACTCGCTGCCAGAGGATGCTGTGATGGCCACAGGAATAAAGAGCTTTCAAAGGGGATTCGATAGATTCATGGAAGATAATCTATCAGTGGCTACTAGCCTTGGTGGCTGAGGAGAACCTCCACATTCAGAGGCAGTCAACCTCTGAATCCCAGACCCAGGTGGTTTATTATTATCGTATGGCATTGTATGTGGTATAGCCAGGAGATCTTGGGATTGTCTGGCTGCCTGAAGTACGTTTTTTATGCACCACTAAGGGCGAGCTAGACTTATTTTTTGAACTGAGAGAGCGCTAAGAGCTGTAATTGACCCACGGTCACCCAGCTGGGTTCATGCGGGGGAGTGCAGAATCGAACCCGATTCTCCAGATCAGAGTCCGACACTCTTAACGCTCTGTTGTTGGTCCTCCAGACGAACTGGTTGGCCCCTTTGTGAGACAGGAGGCTGGACTAGATGGACCACTGGTCTGATCCAGCAAGGCTCTCCTTGTGTTCTTATCAAGGCCTTGGCCTCTATGCCCTGTTGTTGGCCCTTCAGAGGATGTCCACTGGTTGTCCACTGTGTGAGATAGGAGGCTGGACTAGACAGACTTTTGGTCTGGTCCAGCAGGGTACTTCTTATGTTCTTCTATGTTCTTATGTCGAGATGGCTACAGGAATAAGCAGCTTTCAAAGGGGATTAGATTGATTCATGGAGGAGAGGTCTATCGATCACTACCAGCCATGATGGCTGAGGGGAACCTCCACATTCAGAGCCAGGAGGCAACGTCAGGGGAAAGCCCTTGGCCTCTATGCCATTGTTGGCCCTCCAGAGGAATCACCAGAGGTTGGCCACTGTGTGAGAGAGGAGGCTGGACTATCGAGTACTGCTCGTATAGCGATAGCCTTGAGCAGAAAATAATATTATAAAATAATAGTGTTATTCTGTTGTTTAATTATTGCCCACATACATTTTGCCACGGAGAGGAGGTTGGACTAGATGTGGACCACTGGTCTGAACCAGCAGGGCCCTCCTTATGTCATTTCCAAATGGATGCCTCGTAGGGTTTACTGAATCACCTTATCTGCAGAGGTAAATCAAAACTGGCTCTTCGCTTGGGGGAAGGTGGCAGTGGGTACCAGGAAACACCCCAGTAGACCCCACTTTGGGGAGGGCCACTCGAGTGCGACACTCTAACTCAGGGTCCCCAACCTTTTTGTGCCTCTGGGCACATCTGGAATTCTGACAACGTGTAGTGAGCGCAGTCACAAAATGGTGGCAGAGCCAGCCATGAAAAGCCAGGGAGTGAAGAAGAAGAGCAGATTGGCTTTATACCCCGCCCTTCACTCGGAGTCTCAGAGCGGCTTACAAACTCCTTCCCCTTCCCCTCCCCAAAACAGACACCCTGTGAGGTGGGTGGGGCTGAGAGAGCTCTGACAGAAACTGCTCTTGAGAGAACAGCTCTTGTCAGAACTATGGCTTGCCCAAGGTCACCCAGCAGCTGCGAGTGGAGGAGTGGGGGAATCAAACCCGGTTCTCCCAGATCAGAGTCCGCGCACTGAACCACGACACCAGACTGGTTACCCATTAACTCTACTCGTAACTCTTCAACACTTCAGACAGAAGGTGTGCTTAACAGGAGGCCTTTTCAAATGAGCATACTGATTAGAAATATCGTCTTGCTTATACACAGCTTATCTTCACCCAGACAGTGAAGATCCTTCTGCTGCGGTGGCAGCTGCTGCCAAAGCAATGTGTTTTTTGTGTGTTTTTTTGGAATCTGCACAGTCAAACAGATCTCCAGCAGCCAATCAGAAGCCCTGCGAGACAAAACCCCCGCCAGGCCCCACTCACTTTCTAAAAACACTTGGCCAGTCCCAGGAAAGACTCCAGGGAGGATCGTTCTCTCCACGGTTAATATCCATGCAAAGCAAAATGGTGAAGTGGTGTGTGGCACGCCAGCAGAGACACGGCATGGTGCCCGGGTTCGCCGCGTTGGGGATCTGTGTCCTAACCGCTAAACTCCGCCGGCTCTCCAGACACCGCTTTATCGTTTTGCTCTGCATGGATATTAACTGCGGAGAGAACGGTCCTTCTTGGAGTCTGCCCTTTCCAGAAGTCGCTCGTGCTGGCAGGGCCACCCTCACTTTGCATGGATGCCGTTTTGGAGGGCAGACGGCAGAAAGAGCGCCCCCAGGGACGAGAAAGCCGGAAGGGCGGAGGAATTGCCCCTCACCTGTAGAAAAGGATATTGACCGGGATGGTGCTGATGTGCCAGATGGCGTGGGCGTCAAAGACCCAAAACAGGGGTGGGAAGTCCAGCAGCTCCAGCAGGGCCAAGGCTTGTAGGAGCAGGACCACGGCCACGCACTTCCAGACGTACGGCAGGCGCTGCTGGTTCCTCATGCACCAGCCCAACCACCAGAAGAGGTTGAGGAGGCCTGCAGCGGGGGACACAGACACACACAAGAGAGAAGAAAACCTTCACGTTTCCCATCATTGTTGGCACGGGAAGTGGGCAACAGGAAGTGGGGGCGGGGCTTAGAGTTCCATGCATGGCATTCAACAGTTGTAAGCAATGGTCCCTCTGTGCTGTGGAGTCTTGTGAGCAAAAATTCTACTTTGGGAGCTATGCTGGCATTAAAGTTGTGAGCGAGCGATTTGGCTATGGAATAAATTAGTTTGCTCTGGATTCCTCCTCCCTGAGCGAAGAGAAAATTGTGTGAGCCAGAGGCTAAAAATCTGTGAGCTCATACTAACTCAGTTTA